CCTTCCATCTCCTTTTTGGTACAGTGATCTGTGTATTCCTTCCATCTCCTTTTTGGTACAGTGATCTGTGTATTCCTTCCATCTCCTGTTTGGTACAGTGACTGTGTAGTCCTTCCATCTCCTTTTTGGTACAGTGACTGTGTAGTCCTTCCATCTCCTTTTGATGCTGTCTGCATCATTCAATCATTTCCTCAGTTCTTTCTACCAGCTTGAGGAATGCTGAGCGTGTTCTCCACCCCTTTTGGTTTTTTGAATCCAGATCTTTGCACAGTTTGTTGTAATACTTGACTTTGTCTTCTCAAGCGGCCCTTTGAACATTTCTGTTCACCTCTTTCCCCTCCTCACTTCTTCCATTTACTTTAGTGTCCATCTCTACGCTGGAGGATAAGTTCCAGAGTCTCAATTAGGTTAAGAGAGTTCAAGAAACACCAAGTGCTACATGCAGAGAGAAAAGCCCAAAGTGTCAACAGTTGTTCCCCTAGGTAGAGGTTGTTTCTGGTTTTTTATCCTTTGTGTAAGTTTTCTATAAAAAATATGGTAAAAAAAAAAAGTCTGTCTACCTATGTATGTGTATCTGTGTGTATGTGTATTTTGTGTGTATTGCATGTCGGGATGTGTATCTGTGCACAGACAATGACAAAAGTAAGGATGGGAGACCTAGGAGTGGAACTAAAGGGTGCTTGGGGAGGAAAGGCATCTTGCCTGATCTGACTCCAGGGCGTATTGTCCCCCCTCCCACCAGATACAGCACCTAACCAGGTCCACAGCTAGCACCCCTGACACCCAAGTGTGTTTTAAAGGTGCTGAGAGTCACGGCTGCTCCCAGACAAGACTCCAAAAGTAGGCTGAAGACAGAGCATGCAGTAGGAGGTAGAAGGTGGGTCCCACCCCGGCGAGAGGGACCCTTCTCCCCTCCGCTGTGGGTCTCCCAGGGTCCCCCAGCACTTTCTACGTGCGACGGGAAGCATTCTGTAGTCATCCTGGGGCACACATGGGTCTCAGGCCTGCTTTATCCCCAGTGGATAGTGGCAGGTGGCGGATGGACAGGCTCCGGCGACCCCAGGGACCCCCTCCCATGGCCGGGCCACTCACTGGTGGTCACTCCTGCTGCTCGTCATTGCTGGCACTGGGGGTCCGACTCCGGATCTGACTCCTGAGCTGCTCGATCAACTCGGGGTTCTGCTGCTGCATCTGCTGCGCAAACTCCTGGCCCCTGTGGAGAGGACGGACGGACGGACGGAGGGAGGGAGGGAGGGATCAGCACAAGGGGGCGTGGGAGACCCTGCCACCACCCAGCACACATTTCATGGCCAACACCTGGTCCCTAACACTGTGCCCCAGCCAGCAGGTGAGGACTCTGTGGCACCAACAGGCCACCAGCCCAGGGGCCTCATCAGCCAGACCACCCGCTGGGGCCAAACTCTTATCTGTCCATATCTGGTGACTTGAAAAGTCGCCCAAACTAATGGGTTTCTCACCGCCCAGAGCCTACCAGCTAGGGAGGCCCTGTGTAGCCTCACCCAACATCTGTTCGTCCCCAGCAATCTGACCCGACTGTAACAAGGACTCTCAGGGGCTGCTAGGGGTCCTGGTAGTGCAATGATGAAGTGCTCAGCTGCAAACCCATCGGCCGGCAGTTCAGACCCACCCAGAGGCTCAGAGAGAGAAAGACCTGGTGACCTCCTCCCACCCAGGTGACCTCCTAGGACATCCTGTGTGGGGGGCAGGTCTCGTCTGTCACTGAATTAGAGTCGACAGATGCTTCCACCCTCAGCGCTGGCTGCAGGGGCCTCAGCCCAGGTCACTAGTCCCTCCTTTGTTGACCCTTCTCCTCTCCAGGTTTCCCAACCTCCTTCCTTGCCTCTGGCAGAGCTCCTCCTTCAGGGGACCTACAGCTGGGCTCATGGTCCCACCCTTGTCCTCTAACTGCCCTCAACTCTTGTGACCTCAGTAAACACACACTCTCCTCCCACCACCCGCCCACACTCCCTAGTAAATGGGGCTACTCACGCCTGGATGAGGTTGGCCAGCTCATTCTGAGAGAGGCTGGTGCCTGGGGTCCCCAGGGGGTTGTGGCTGCCTGAGATCATCCCAGACATGCTACAAGGAGGGAAAGTAATACATCAGTGGGAGTCATCATCGGGGCAGTGCTGACCCCGGGGGACACCACAGGTCATGACTGAGGAAGGTTACTGCGGACGCCAGGGAGGCTGCTCAACCCAGACAATGACCAGCACCCAGACGGCAGGAATGCCAAGGACTAACAACCCTGTGTTCACTATTTGGAGGACACGGTTGAGTTCCATCCCTACCTCACCCCTTCCACCAGAAGAAACTCCCACTGGGTCAGACGGAGTCCAGCAGGGGTCCTCTGGCTCCTGGGATTTCCCTCCGCCCCTCCCGACTCAGTGTGTGGACGTCAATGTGGGCAGCGTCCCAGGACGTCAGGGGGTCAGAGGATGATGGGAGGCAGTCTCTTGGGGCTCTCATTAGAGGTGACTTTGTCCCCAGGGGGCACTGAGCCATGTCTGGGGACATCTGCAGCTGTCAGGTCCAGGGGAGGTGCTACTGGCAGTGAGTGAGTGGGGGCCAGGGATGCTGTTCAACCCCACAGAGCCTCCCCAGCCTCACCCAGAGCAGCCGCAAAGGGAGAGCCCCTGGATTAAGAACTGAACCCCGAAGACATGCAAAGGACAACAGACGGCTACTTACAGCTGCTGGACTTGGGGGTTGTTCATTAGATTTGAAGCCTGGGGAAAAAGCAGGGGTTTGTCAGGAAAAGTGCGCTGCCACATGGCGAGTCAACCCTGGGTCAGCACCGAGCACCTCACATACCGCCCGCAGACACTCAGCTGGGACCCCCGCATTCCACCACCACAGTCCCATTTCAGACTCTGACTTTTCTCACTGGGTGCTTGGACTGCACTGTGGGCCTGCATTCTGGATCTTTCTCTAAAGCCACTGTCGATCTAAAATATTGGGAGGTCTCTGGTTTTGCTCTATCAGTAAACACCATCTTCCTACATCAACTCTCCACATCTGCGATTGTTTCCTTAGGTTAGAATTCAGTCAGTGACCGAGTTAGGAGCAGCATCCCTAGACAGTAGTTTACATCAGGGGTCGGCAACCACTCGTGGGGTATGAATGTGTCCAGGTTTGGGAGCCCGAGAGGTCACTAGTGGTGTGGACATGAGTGAGAAGGGCTACGTGCTAATAAAACTTCATTTAAAAAACTACGTCCCCCGTCCCACCAAAAAAGAAAGAAAAACAGAGAATGGAAGCAGATCGTGCTAAATGCTAGTGCACGGAGAAGACTGTAATCACTGTGAAAACAATGGCGTACAGAGACAAACAAGGAAAATCATGACGAACTAGGCGGTGGGCTGGGAGTTTCTGGCCCCTGACTCACAGGCCTGCTGAATCCTCCTGCTGGACGCCCTGCAAAGGCCCGTGCCCACCTGCACATCCCATGACTCTGCTCACCATTTCTCGGAGCAGCTGGAGGCCCTGGGGATTCCTGTGAAGGGGCACCCTCACTGCACCCGGAGCCCAGTGTCTGTAGTCTGTCCTCACCCCAGGCTCCAGAGGGTCATGAATATGCATGTTTCCCTAATGGTGTGCCCCCGCCCCCCACTCCACTTGGTGTCATGAATTATGCATGTGGAGGCAGTGCCCAGGAAGGATCACAGCTAGAGGAACGGGCTGTTGAAAACCAAGAAGCTCTCAGCATAAATCCAGTGGTCAGACAGGGTCCTGGGTGAGGTGCCCAGCACACTTGCTGGTCCTGTCTAGAGCTTAGGACAAGCTCGGGGGCAGGGTCTGTGGGGTTGTCCTGGGCTCTGCTTGCCAAGGGTGGACCCAGCCCAGAGAAGGAGCCAGGCCCCAAGTCAGCAGTGCTGAACGGCGCAATTCTACTGAGTATTTGGGTGGAAAATACTGAATTTAATTCCTACCCTACATCAGTTAATCAAATAAACTCCTGCTGGGGCAGACAGTGTCCACCAGGAGGACCCTCCTCCCCTCTCAGTGTGTAGACTCAATTGGGCACTGTCCAGGGCGTTAGGTCAGATGACTACAGGACACAGCGTCTCCTGGGGGTCAGCGGAAGCCCCTTATCCAAGGACCCCTGGGGCAAATCTGCCCTCAGGGGGCACTTGGTATTTTCCACACAAGTTGAGACATTTATGGGTGTCACAACTGGGGTTGAGGGTGGATCCTGGCACCGAGTATGTACAGACCAGGGATGGTGCTCAATACCCCACAGTGCACAGGGAGCCCCAGGAGAGGAGCTGACGCCCACATCAACAGGACTAGATGCCAGGCAAAATGGACACAGGACCAGACACCGGCCTGAGGAGGGGTGGGGGGCTGCCATGGGTGTATGTGGGCTAGGCACGGAGCTGTGTGTGTGGAGCTGGCGTGGGTGTCGGGGGAGCAAGTGTCGAGCCACTGGCATGGGGGGACAAGCAGGGCCAGCATGGAGCCAACCTGAGTGTGTGTATGGGAGATGAGAGACCAGGGGGGCCATGCTGCTGTGTGTGTGTGTACAGGATGGACGTGGAGCCAGGCTGGGTGTGGGGGGGGCGGGCGTGGAGCCAACATGGGGTGGGGTGGGGTGGCAGTGGTCAGCACCCTTACCATGCTCATGAAGCCTGGGTTGTTGAGCAGGCCGGCAATGTCGAAGGTGCCTCCCGTCTGTGAGGATCAGAAACAATGGCACTGAGTCAGCTCTGCAGGCCCCGGTCAGCCCAGCCCCCTGAGGGAGGTCCATGCTGGCCTCAGGACAAAAAGGGTCTGCCACAGCCTCACCGGGCTGGGTGCCTCCCTCAGTTTCAGCTCCGCGATCTTGAGATTGGACTTGTAGGTCTCGTTGTCGGGGTCGAGCTCCAGTGCCTTCTTGTAGTAAGCCACGGCTTCCGCATGCTTGTTCAGGCTGGACAGCGCCAGGCTGCGGGGGCACCGGGATGGGGTGCTGAGATGCAGGCAGAGCCAGAGGCCCTCCCCATGCTCCCCACGTGGACCGTCAAGTCCTTCCCTTCCGGAAAGAAGCTGGAACTCGGGAGTGACCAGGATGGTCCAGGCCGGGCCCCTCCTCGCGCACTCACCCCATACGGCCATAGGCCTTGCTGTAGGACGGGTCTATGCAGATGGCACGATCACAGTCCTGCACTGCGCCAGCGTAGTTGCCCAGCTTGCTGTAGGCTGCAGCCCTGAGGGAACAAAGAGGGGAGTGAGGAGGAGGAAGAGAGGCGGGCTCCTTCCCAGCTACCTAGCAGGAGGCGCAGGCAGTGTGGGGGAGCCACGGTCTTCCCATCTACAAAATGGGGACTGGGATGTTGTCATCCTGGGGTGACTTGCTTGTTGCTGTGATGCTGGGAGCTATGCCATCAGTATTTCAAACACCAGCAGGGTCACGTGTGGAGCTCCCAGACTAAGACAGACTAGGAAGAAAGGCCTGGAGATCTACCTTTCTAAAAATCAGCCCATGAAACCTTTACAGAGCACAAGAGAACAGCCAGCCAGAGCCGGCCTTGGGGAGCAGATACGGTGCAACAATTCCAACTGTGGACTCGAACACACCGACCCCCACTTGGACGACTACACAGCACCTGACACGCCAACAGCAACTCGGGGCTGCCGAGAGGTGTGGCAGGCGCGATGCAGGTAGGTAGGTGCTGGCTACCCTCACGCTTCCCGTCTGTTGAGCACCTTCATCCTGGGGCTGCTGGGGAGAGATCCAGGCGGAGACCAATGGGCTCTGAGACAGACTTGACACGCATCACGGCCCCACAGCAACGGGTGGAGACCAAGATGCAAAGAGCCCCAGATGAGTATTCTTGACCACCTCTGAGGGGAACCCTAGTACATGGGGCTGGACAGACACCTCACCCACATCTCCCAAACTAAGACCCACAGGCTCCTCCTCTTCCAGATCAGGAAGTGGCAAAGGACAGCCTATGGCCTACCGCCTGTGTGTACACATCAAGTTTTATTGTCACACAGCCATGCCCATTTCCTCATACATCATGCTCTGTCTGGGGATGCTTCTGTCATATGACTCACAAAGCTGAGACTACTGACTGTAATCCCTTCCTTTCCTTGAAAAAGTTCACCAAACCGTAAGCCGGAGCGGAGGGGTCCTAAGTTAAGGTTCTCAATGAGACTTGTCAACCACAAAGATGTAACAAAATCCTTGGAAGCCATGTACAGGGTGGCTATGCACTCGCCGGCAGTTAGCAACACCATTTTCATTAAGGTGCCCTGGTGCCTCAGTCAGGCGGGAGAGAAGGTTGGCAGGTCCTGCGCAAATGTCATCTCAGAAGCTTTATCTTAGGGCCGCGAAGAGTCAGAGGGGACTCACGGGCAGTGGGTTTGGTTTTTGATTTTCACCACCCCTTCAGGATGCCAGCCACAAATCTCAGTCCTCTCCCCAGTAAGTTGGTAACCAAAGGCCAGTGGTTGGAGCCCACTCAGCGGCCGCTCCGGAGAGGCCTGGTGAGCAGCTGCCATGGGAACCCTGTGGGACATGTCCACTGCTGCAGGGACGCTGAGTCAGACCCGACTGGACGGCTCCAACACCAGACGAATCCATTTAGTCTCATATTATTAGTTTTCACAGTAACTGACATTCTTAATTACTAACTGACTACGTTGAAACACTCTTAACGGCAGATTCATGAAACGCTATCCTGGCGTCGGGTGACAGTCTCGGCTTGCAGCTCCTCGCAGAGAGCTGTGACACTTATTCCTGCTTGCTCCCCTCCCAGCCCCAGCCCCCAGGTGCTGGGGACCACAGTAGGGTCACCACTGAACAACAGGGCAATGCAGCCGCACCTGTTACAGAAATAGACGGCGTTGGCAGGGTTGAGCTCAATGGCCTTCCCGTAGAAATGGACAGCCGCTTCAAAGTTATCAACTTTCATCTGCTCGTTTCCTACGAAGAAGAACAAATCAACGTGACACCGGGCCACTCACCTCAGACCTAGCAGGTGGACGGCCGGCCTCACCCTCAGGTCCTCTGGGGTTTAAAGTTGTGGGAAACATCCACATGTTGTTGCAAAGTGCCACCAACTCAGTTCCGACTCATAGCAACTCTGTATAGGGTTTCCAAGTAGTGGCTGGTGGGTTTGAACCACTGACCTTGTGGTTAGCAGTAAAATGCTTAACCCGCTGTGTCACCAGGGTGCTCAGAGTCCCCGTGTGGTGCAAATGATAAAGCCCTCGGCTGCTAACCAGAAGGATGGCAATCCGCATCGGCCCAGAGGCACCTCAGAAGAGAGGCCTGGCAACATGCTTCTGAAAGATCACAGCCTTGAACACCCTCCAGGGCAGTTCTCCGCATGCACACACGTGGCACCAGGAGTGAGAATCCAACAGCAGACATATATGTAACAGATGAGTGTTCACATGCACAGTCCAGCAGCCCTCATTACACCAAGGACGCCGCCCTTTCATCTGAGTACCCACCACCGACAGCTGGAACGCCAGCCTGCAGCCCCGGAGACTGCTATACACGGTGCTCTCTGTTACTTGTCCATCCTAGATACAAGGGGGCTTCAAAACATCGGTGGGAAAACTCCCATCACCTTTGAATTCCTTTTCTCCACAAACAATCTGAAGACCCCTTGCATTTCATGTAGCTAAGACCAGACCATCTCTGTCCAGCTGGGGCTGATGCATCAGGACCCCGTTTCCCTGTGGGGACGGACCCCATCTACCTTCTGTGGCTCGTGACCTCCGCTGCAGTGGGCGCTGGAGGGCACGAGTCTGTGTGAGCCCCTGCTTTCCAGGGTCGTGGGCACAGACTCAGAAGGGGGATCTCTAGGAGGGCTGGTGGTTCACACAGCTTAAGTGCTTGGCTGCTGAGAGGTCAGTGGTTCAAACCCAGCTGGTGGCTGCCCTAACGATGACAGTCTAGGACACCCTATGGGGCAGCTCCAGTGTCCATGGGGCTACTGAGAGCCCAATACCCCAGGACAACACATCTGACAACTGCCACTTCCACTGTCCCACCCACGTGTCCATCTATCAGACGCCCCTAGGCCCCATCCTTGAAGCCCAGTTGCTGACGGCACTGAGGGACCAGCCGGCTCCCACCCTCACCAGTGGATGGCGCTCTCTCGTTTACCTTCTGTCTTGAGGCGCTCCGCCTCCGCTGAGTCCTCCTCAGAGGGCGGTTGCTCGGGGCTCCTCAGGTCCTGCGGCGTGTCCTGTCCCTGGAGCCAAAGGCGGGCACTTTGAGGAGCAGCGGACCCTGAACCCCAATCTAGTGACAGCCCTGTGGGTGAGCCCATGGCAGATGGAGGCCTGGACAGCTGGAAACGTGGCTACTGGGCGGGGCCCGCAGCTCACCCTGTCTGTGGCGGAGGCTGCAGCAGCTTCAAAGATTTCAGGCAGGGTCTGAGGCAGCGCCAGGTCATGATCTTCCATGGTCACGCCAAACGCGGTCTCCAGGCACTGGATGGCCACTGGAAGGGGGACCCGCGTTCTCATGGTCAGGCAGGGATCCCGGCTTGCTCCCCACTGCCCGGCTCAGCTGGCAGAGCCCCGGACACATAGCCTATCCCAGAGTTCCTTGCGTCTAACCCCTCTTGCCCCCACCCGGGCAGACAGGGGCCGTCTGCACCCTGAAAGCAGGAGATACCCGAGGGAGGATGTCCTCCCAGTCCAGCGGGTGCTGGGTGGGTTCCAATGCTGAGAGGGAGGAAGGTGTACAGGAAGTCTCTTCTGGAGAACCCCCCACCCCCTGGGAGCCGCACCAGGCGGGCACCCTGATTGTAGGCAGGAGGGGAAGCTATGGACGGGCCCTGCTCCCTGACTGCCCCACAGGATGCTTCAGAAAGCATGGTTCTCCCGGGACACCACCCCGTTTCCTCTGTGTACTGAGCCCTCTTGGTCCTGGGGACTCCTCAGAAATGAGGAGTGGAGGAAGGGCAGGAGGAGCAGGAGAGGAGGGCCGGCTGGCACTCACCTTCCAAGCTCTCCTGGGCATCGGAGGAGAGCCCGCCATGCCGGAGCTGGTCATGTAGAAAGTGGATGATGGCGTAGGCCAGGCGCTTCTTGTTGTCCATATTGAACAGCAACGCCTGCCGGGCTGTCAGGATCTGCAGGTCAGAGGCAAGAACCTAAGCACTGCTGCAGGCCGAGTCGGTTCTGACTTATAACCACCCCATGACAGAGCAGCACTGCCCCATAGATTCCCGAGCTGTGAATCTGTACCAGAGATCGCCAGGTCTTTCTCCCTTAGAGCGCCTGGGTGGGGTGGGAGTGCCGACCTTTCGGCTAGCTGCTGAGTGCTTAACAGTTAGGCCACAGAGCTCCTGAAGAGTAGGAGGACCAGCTGTCCAAGGGCTGGACACAGCGTGAGTGATGCCCAAACAAAACAAGGCCCCTTTCTGCTCGGCTGGCCCAGTGCCCTTGTCACCTGACAACCCCACACTGCCCTGGCCTGGCTCGGAGGGTTCGTCCTCCTATCGGCCGTCCTCAGGCAGATGCAGAACAGTGGTGAGAGGGAGGGCACCGGGGGCCCGGGGGGACCCACAGGCAAGAGCCCCTCACTAAGCGGGAAGGAGGCCCAGTGCTCATGCGGCCGGCCTCTCAGTCAGTGCCTTGTCCTCTGACAATCACCATCGAGCCAGCCCGACTCCAGAGGGCCCCGCGCACCGTAGAACGAACACTGCCTGGTCCTGCGCCACCCCCACGGTAGGCTGGAGATCAGACCGTTGGATCCACAGGCTTTGTGTGGACACATTCTCTAAACCTTTGTTCCTTGTCTGTGCGAAGTCTGAATGCTCTGCTGAAACCTGCTCAACACCAGAGCAACAAGCCAGCCTCCAGGACATAGGGGTGTAGGTGCTATGGACTGGACTCGAACCCGGGTCTCCCGCATGGAAGGCGAGTGTTCTAACACCGAGCCACCGCTGTACTACTCAGAGTTAAAACCAGCTGTTGTGGAGCCAACTGACTCATGGCAACCCCATGTCTACACAGTACTCCGCAGTCGGCTAGAACTGGTTTTTCAGGAGAAGATCACCAGGCCTTTCTTCTGCGGAACTTTTGGGTAGATCCAAACCCGCCACACTTCGGAGACCACGCAGGGCCTCGTACACAAATGCGGAATGACCAATCTATCGCAGTAGGGTGAACACTCCAACCTTATGGTTATCACGTGGGTTCTTCCTGGGCGTGGGCACGGCTAGAAGAGCCCAGGTGTGGGGAAGCAGGACAAAAGGAGTCAGACAGGAAATCGCAGAGGGCTGTATGCTGAGGGAAGAGGGGAGAAGTGGGAAGGGACACAGGCGATCTTTGGTGACTCAGACTGAGGGTGGACCAAAGTCCAGGATTCTAAGGGGAAAAGAGACGCTTAACCAAAGTTTGGTTAACAAGCATTTTGTTTCTAATTGACTAACAGGGACAAGCAATTTGGTTAATCATTTATGAATCCAAAAATAGGAATTTTGAGGGTCTGTAATGGACCTTAGGCCACTAGCAACCTAGTCTGCCCGGGACTACGCCAATCTGAGCGTTGCAAACCGCCACTCGTCTGTCAGCGTGTTTTACTTCAGTGGCCTGAGTGTGGCTGTGATGCCAGAAGCTGTACCCCCAGTACTTTACACAAACACCAGCAGAGCCCCCCATGGGAGACAGACTAAGACAGTCGAGGCAGAAGTCGAGGCAGACTCCCTCTGAATGCTCAGCCACTGAAAACTTGATGAGGAGCACCAGAACACTGTGAGAGGCGCTGCCTGATGACGAGTCCCTCAGGCTGGAAGGCACTCAAAATCCGACTGGGGACCAGCTGCTTCCTCCTCAAAGTAAAGCTGACCATGATGACATGAACGGAGTTAAGCTTTGGGGACCTTCATTTGCTAATGGGGCACAACTCAACATGATGTGAAAACAGCTGCAAACACCCATTAATAACTGGCACATGGAATGTACGAAGTCTGAATCTATGAAAACTGGAGGTTGTCAAAAATGAAATAGAATGCAAACGTAGATCTATCCTAGGCATCAGCAAGCTGAAACGGCCGTTTTGAATCAGAGAAACATGGTTTACGATGCTGGAAATGAAAATCAAATTCAAGAGGAATGGTGTCGCATACACCATCAAAAAGAACATTTCAAGAGGGATCTTAAAGTATAATGCTGTCTTTGATAGGATAATATCCAAACGCTTACAAGAAGACCAAGGAGTCCTGGTAACATAGTGGCTTACGTGTCAGGCTGCCAGCTGCAAGGTCAGCGGTTCAAGTCCAGGCACTCCACAGGAGACAGATGAGACTTTCTGCTCCTGTAAAGATTTACAGCCTTGGAAACTCCATACAGGGTCCCTATGAGTTGGGATGGACTCCACACCACCACAAGGAAAACCAGTTAATATCACTGTTGTTTAAATTTAGGCATCAACCAGTAAAGCCAGCAATGATGACATTGAAGAATTTTACCAAATTCTTCAGTCTGAAACAGACCAAAGATGCAATCAACATGTGTGTGATAGCTTCTGTTCCCTGGTCCCTTTCAACCCTTGATCCCCTAGCCGCCCCTCTTTCCATTCCTCCGGGAATTCTAGAAAACCAAGTGCTTTTCACCTACCCTCTGTACTTCCTAACAATGAAAATCAGTGACAGCTACCACTTACTGAAGGAGCTCTGGTAGCGTAGTGGTTATGAATCGGGCTGCGAACCGCAAGGTCAGCAGTTCGAAACTACCAGCTGCTCCGCAGGAGAAAGATGAGGCTTTCTCCTCCCATAAAGATTTACAGCCTCGGAAACCCTGTGCAAGGTCGCTAAGAGTCGGAACCGACTCCACGGCACATAACCACCAACACCACTACTACCACTTACTAAGACACTCACTCACCCAATAACTAACTAGTGAGGACAAACTATGTGTCAGGAATGTCCCTAGATACATATGCAGCAGGAAGCCGAAGAGAGAAAGAGCCTTGCCCTCCCGGAACTGACATTCAGTGGCGAAGAGATTCAGAAAGTCAAGTTTACAGAATGTCAGAAGGTGACATGTGACTTGGGGGGCAGGGAAGAAGAGGAGAGCAATGGGGATGGAAAGTATGTGGGGTGCACAGGTTGGAAGTTCTAATAGGGGTCCTTGAGAAGGTAGCAATGAGAAAATGACATCTGGGAAAAGGTCAAAGTTGGTGAGAGAATTAGTCTCACATACACATGCAAAAGGAGTCCTGGTGTGGCGCTGTGGGTTAATGCACCAGACTGCAAATCCATTTGAACTGCAAGGTTGGCGGGTCAAGCTCACCAGTCGCTCCTAGGAAACCCTATACAGGGTTGCTATGGGTCGGAACCAACTCAACGCAACTTCACAACAACAACAAAAGCATGCAAAAAGATGGAGCTCACAGTTACTAATGGTTGGAATGTGAAAATTGGAAACAAAGAGGAAGGATTAGCAGTTAGAAAACAGGGCCTTGTCAATATCTCACTGCAGAATTTAGCAGGGCCAATGACTGACTTGCTGCACATAACTTTTTTTAAACAACATCAGAGGCGATTATACACATGGACCTACACAGAATCAAACTGACTCCATCTGTGGAAAGAGAAGATGGAAAAGCTCCATATCATCAGCCAAAACAAGGCAGTGGCAGATTGTGGAACAGACCATCAATTGCTCGTATGCAAGTTCAGACTGAAGCTGAAGAAAATCAAACCAAGTCCACGAGAGCCAAAATATGACCTTGAACATCTCCCACCAGAACTTAGAGAACACCTCAAGAAAAGATTTAATTCATTAAACACTAATGACTGCAGACCAGAAGAGCTATAAGATAACATCAGGAACATCATACAGGAAGAAAGCACAAAGTCATTTAAAAGACAGGAAAGAAAGAAAAGACCAAAATGGATTTCAAAAGAGACTCTGAAACTTGCTCTCCAGCATAGAGGTGCTAAACAAGGAGGAGCTATAAAGAAGTAAAACAGCTGAAGAGAAAATTTCAAAGGGAAATGCAAGGATACAAAGTCAAATGTTAGAATGAAATGTGCAAAGACCCGGAGGTAGAAAACCAAAAGGGAAGAACACACTCAGCATCTCTCAGGTTTAAAGAACTGAAGAAAAAAATTCAAGACTCAACTTGCAATACTGAAGAATTCTATGGAGACCTGGTGGTGTTGTAGGCTAAGCACTGGACTGCTAATCTCAAGGTCGGCGGTTCAAACACACCAGCCACTCCTTAGAAACCCTATATAGGATGGCTCCGAGTTAGAACTGACACTTAACAACACCACGGGCAAAATACTAAATGATGCAAAAGCAGACAGAAGGGACACACAGAGTCACTGTGCCAGAAAGAACCGGTGGGTCAACGCTCAGGCATTTCAAAACGTAGCACCTGACCAAGAGCCAATGGTGAGGAACAAGGCTTCAGAAACTGAAGGGATACAAATGGAAATCTTTCAACACACTGAGGCAGCACTGGAGGCACTCACTCATCTCTGCCAAGACATTCTCAGGAGAAGCTACCTGGCACCGATTTTAAGAGATATTTTAAGAGATCCATATCTGTGCCCATTCCAAAGAGAGGTCACCTAATGGAACGCAGAAATCCTTGAACAATATCATTACTATCACATGCAGTAAAATCCGAAGCTAATCCAAAAACAGCTGCAACCGTATTTCAATAGAGAACTGCCAGAAACCCAAGCCAGATCCAGAAGAAGAGGGGGAAACTAAGGATTGTTGTTGTTGTAATGTGCCATGGAGTTGGTTCCGACTCATAGCGCCCCTGTACAGGGTTTCCGAGGCTGTAAATCTTTATGCGAGCACAAAGCCTCATCTTTCTCCCATGGAACAGCTGGTAGTTTTGAACTGCTGACCTTCCGGTTCGCAGCCCAATGCTGATATCAGATGGATCTTGGCTAAGAGCAGAAAATACCAGAAAGATGTTTACTTGTGTTTCATTGGCTTTCGACTGTGTGGGTTTGGATAACACTGAAGAATGAGTATTCCAGAAAACCTAATTGTGCTCATGAGGGAGCTGTACCTAGACCAAGAGGCAGTTGTTCAAACAGAACAAGAGGATACGGAATGACTTAAAATCA